CATGATGTGTACTGCTACTCCAAAAATGCTACACTGGGGCAGACAGGGGGCAGCAGAATTTCTTTTTGCTATTTTAGCAGTTTTGATTCTGTTTGTTCCTTCTTCTTCAATATCTATTTAGATTAGAACACTATAGTATATGATACTCAAATGATTTTCTTATCTATCTTTGTCAATCTATGGGCCATCTCAACATATGCAACTTCCATTGGGAAAATCAAATACACAATTGACACCAATGGAGCTAAAGGAAGGGTTGGTCTACAGTATGGTATGTAGTGCTCTGGTCCAAATATATCCCATATTGATGGCCTCAATTGTTTTTCTGATAACCCTCTGTATTACCAACAAAAACCTCATAGCATTAGATTTTGGTTTGGAGGACAAAGAATTGGCTGAGTTTGGTGAATCCCTGTCAGTAGAATTTCATTGTTGGTATTTCCTGGGAATATAGACAACTACATATTTTCAGATATAATTTATTTTTTGCTAATTCAAAATTCCAATTTCATGAGACAAGAAACCAGTCAAATTTGCATCTGGTCAGAAAATGGTGTGTGTTTTCCCAGTTTAGGTCCTCACTTTGCATGTAACAGAATATCTAATTAATGATGTATTCTCACTATAAAGTCCCAAAGCAATCCTGCCCTACTTCTCATGTAAGTTTTCTTGTGGTGTCAACATAGGATTGACTGGCAGGTCTTGATTGGAGATTAATTTTCAACTTGCAACATCCTTTTTTTCAAACTTTGTAAAAAGGTTAGTTAGATTTTTAGCTTAAAAAATCCCTGAAATTTGTTGCCTGCTTTCTTGATACTAATTAGTCTGAGATTTTAAGCTTCAAGGATAAGAAGAAATCAAATCTTGAATACGGGTGAGCTATCATTTCTGTGTTTATTAAATTACAAATCTTCAGCTGAGAATCAGGTGATTTGAATTACTAGGAAAGTTGAAATTCCTCAAAAAACAATCAAAAGAGATTACTGTTTTTTATAAGAATCTCCAGCAAGAGTTTCAAAGAGGAACCCTCAAATCAATAAAAAACAACAAGCAAGAGTTTAAAAATGCAAGTGAAATAATTGAAACCTTTCAAACCTTTCTTGCAGACACAAAGAAGTGGGAATTATTCAAGATGTTTCATGAATCAGACCCAGATATTGAATTATTAAATTTTGATATGCTTGAGTTGATTGGAAAGAAATTACCCATGCCTCCTTTAGGAAAACTCAAAAGAATAATTCCTTATTACAATTACATGTTCAATTCACATTCAAAAGAAGAAGATCAAGATTCAAGTATCACTGTAGCAGCCTCACATTATGTACTTAAAATAGTTGATTTCCTTCATCAGAAACATTTGATTGACCAAGGATCATTGCATATGGTTTATCAAGAGGAGGAGATGGTGAAGAAGTTGGTCCAATATAGTATTTCACGTTTCAGGGGTGATGGGGTGTTGAAATATTTGGAGATACCATTTTACTTTACTGAACATTGGTATTGGCCGTACCTGTGGGAATCATTCCAAGGTGATATTTTTCTTTTTGAAACTCTTATGCATGTGAATTTTACTTACCTTTTAATTTTTCATCTTTTTCAAAAAATGTAGCTCCAAACAGGAAAGAAGAAAATATGTTTGAAATTGAATTCATAATTGAAAACATGAAGTTTCATGCTAGCCACTGTGGGGAATTACAAAGAAATCACATGTTCAAATCATTTTTCAACTCTTTTTCAAGTGGGAAATACATCAAAAAATTGCAAGTTGGTGGCGGATCGAACCCTTCCAGGTTATTTAAAGGTATCTCAAATCAAATTGAGCCAGTAGAAACAAATGATTATAATGATTTTAAGAATGAAATTGAAAAAATTATGGAGATACAAAAACTTATTCTTGAACAGATAGAATATGATTCACATGAAGTGAAACTGAATACAGCCATTTTTGAATTCTTGAATTTTGTTGAAGGAGAAATGTTTCCAGGAATCACAAGGAAAATACTCAAAAATTCTCCACAAGATTCTGAAAAATTCCAAGATATGCTTAGGCTTCAGATTCTTGGATATCAGTTCAGTAATCTAAGAGAGTTGGCATGTAACTATCATTCTTTCACACATTCTAAAAAGGCCCATGTCAGGAGTAAGGCAATCTTTGATAGAAGAATTTGTCTCAAATATAAAGATAGGATGCTTGAAATATGGGATGAATTCCTGGATAAATATAAAGAAGTATCAGCAAAGAATGATAATTACTTAGATAGTACTTCAATGAGAATAGTCAAATTCTACATCAATAATGGCAATCTGATCATTGATTCACTTCATAAACAAATTATGGAAGACAAGCAAAGTGAAACATTCAAATGAGTTCCCTGGATTTGTGGCTGGAGCTTAACTTGATTGCATCATTCCTTTTCCACATTCTCTACTTGATATGTGTTTTGATCCACTATTTTTAGCTGCACTGTGCTGTTTCAGTAGAAAACTTGCTTGTGTATCTGTAGGTAAATATACACCATTCATCAACAGTCACCAATTGAAGTAATGTTTTCACCATTATTTGCCCCTGGTGTTGGGAAGTTTGATGTGAGCCTCCTGACTTCAGGTGTGTGGTTGACTGAGTTGGCCAACTTGAGGGTGCTTTCCAGCAATGGTGGGCCAGTTACGCTAACCGTAGTGTTAGTGTAGCGTAGTGTTAGCTTTTTAAGCTACGCTACAAAATAGTTACTGTAGCGAAAATTTGCCCACTACACTACAGATTTCTAAAAATTCCAAAAAAACTTTAGCGTAGCGTTAGCTGACTGAAAAAATGCAAACTAACACTAACCAAATCCCTTGTTAGTGGAATTGTAGTGTGTTTAGTGGGCTAAAAAGTTACACTAACTGTTAGTGTAACTTTTTGATAAGTTACACTAACTGTTAGCGTAGTGATCCCCTCAGTTACACTAACTGTTAGCGTAACTGATCAAAAAGTTACACTAACTGTTAGCGTAACTGATCAAAAAGTTACACTAACTGTTAGGGTAACTGAAAACTGAGTCATAATAATGTGTAGGGGCTCAGATGTGATGGGAAATGGTCATCAAAAAATCATTTTCAGGTAATTACTTGGGAAAAAAGCAAGAAAAAAACCAAGCATTTATTCTGGAGCAGGACAAATCATCAACTAAAAATCAAGATTTTTTTTTTTTTTGGTTAGGTATGGTTAGGAGTAAATGATAAAAAGAAAAACTAACTGTAAGAATTTTTTTTTCTGGCTAAGCATGATCAAGCATTAGTGATAAAAAGAGATAGTAAAAGGCGTAAAAAAACACAGATGGAAAATATTCTACTGTTTCTTTTTGGAAAAATCCATGTAAGATCTAACAACTGTTTGTGCTTTTGCATAATCACCAGAAACTTGAATACCTTCTTTCAACCACATATGACTACTAACACCCCTTTCAATTGTTCGTGGTTTTAATGATCCACGTCCAGTTGAACAAACATCAGCAGCTGAGGAAAAAGTACGCTCAACTGCACATGAGGATGCAGAAGATGCCAAGTAGTCCTTGGCTAATGATGCAAGAACCGGATAGGTGGATGCATGATCCTGAAAAATAAAAATAAAAAAGAAAATCATAATGAGATTAATAACTTAATGCAGGTGATAAACAAAGAGAAATTCATACCTTCCACCATAACAAAAGCTCTTTGGGACACTTTGTAGAGATTGCTGGGAGGGGATCCATGTTGTTGATATATACCTCAAGCTCTTTGTTTTCTTCTGTTGATTTTGCAGGCTTGCTGAACATTTCAAAAATGTCATCTTCTTCAACTGGAGGAGTTTTCTTTTCGACTATTTGAATATTGTCTTCCTTCTTCTTCTTCAGAACCTCCACACGCTTTGCAAATTCTTTCTCCAGAAGTTTCTTGGCCACATCCGCTTTTTCAGGCCAGCAATGGGTGAATAGCCCTAATCGGAATGAAGGGTGGAGCAAGGTAGCCATAATGAGAGTTTCACACTCGAGCGCCTTGTCTTGGTAGATCTCAAGTTTCTTGATCATTTTAACATACATTGGATGCATTGCGTGTCCTCGGCTGCACTTGTCCTCTTTCTTCTTCAAAGTTAAGATTGTATGATAATAGTTCGGCAAGACAAAAGCACCTGTAGGACCATCACCCTCCATAAGTTTGGTCAGCCGGTTAAAAGGCTGAAATATAAAATTCAGCATTCACCACGGATGTTTCCGAGGCACTTGCATGCAAGTGCCTTCTTGTAATTTAATGAATACTTTGGTCTGAACCTGAGCGCATGAGAGGTGCAACTTTGGCCAGATTTTGGTCAACCTGGTCCCAACATCAGTTGATTTCGGGTGCAACTCAGCCATGAGTCTTGCATAACTTAGCCTTAAACCTTGATCATACCAAGGTTTGGCCTGTGTGAACTCTTATGCAATACTCAAGCAATATAATCAAGAGCCCTCTACATATTATGATAAGCTCATATTCTTAGTTATACCTCACCTACCCAATCGATATAAGTATGAAGACTGACCTCATCAGAAAATTCACAACAATACTGCTGTGTTGGTTGTTTGTCTTGAGTAGTACCAACCACCGAACCAGCAAGAATTGATCTGTTTGTGCAACAAGCTATGCTCCATCGGCAAGTAAAGACCGGGTATGGTGACCCAGCAACTAGCACCAGACATGTCAGCGAGAACAACATACACTTTTCATATGCCTACTTTGTTGAGAATAATCTGTGTTCTGCTGGTCGAAGTAACCACTGAGATGTATATACACACTGGTGGGATGCCCCCCCAATATCTCCTTTATACTTCCATGTTGCGAGTATGGGTTCAGTCTGGGCCAAACAGGGATCCATGTGTTATCCCAAATAAAGCACAGCTGTTACATCCACTCAGAAGACGCAACAAGTTCCAACCTGGGATATTTTCCTGTGGTTGCATTCCTAGTCATAGTGACCTTGTCAAAATTTAATTTCTCAATTCATTATGGCTGTTGTTTTCTGCCTCGGTCAAATCCTCATCTCATTTCCCTCCAGAACCACAATCTCTCCCCCTGCCGATGTTCCTCAAGTCGTATTCCTTCAGCGAGGGAACCGCCGAGTCCATGTGTTGGGTGCAGGAGGCTTGTCTTTTGGGGATCTCAGCGAGATTCAAAGCAGGTTTGTTGGGCAGTTGTTGGGGCCTGTTGGTGGCTGTTCGACTCGGATGACAGAGGCCAAATTTTCTGATTTGGAAGAGTCGTTGATCAAACTTCAAGCATTCGTTATCACAAAGAGTTCAACACATTCTCAACTCCGTGCATGTGTTTTCAGTCGGTCGAAGGATGTTCAAACGGTTCTTTCTGCTTTTTCTGGGGCAGGTATTGATATCCTGCCAATTTGGAACTACAACCAAAGCCTTTTCTTTGACATACCACTATTTACGTCAAGCGATCATCAACACGTACAATCTGAAAATTTCAGATGGCTCCAGCCATACCTCTTCCAGTGCAAAACAAAATTAAAAGATCACCAACTGAGCGCCCTCAGATTTCTGAAGAAGAACGAGTCAGAGGGAGACACGATTTCACAAGTCTGGAATCACTCGGACAACAACTGGATCAGGAATAATGTAGGAGATTGGACTGAACCGCCGACTAGCAGTGAAGATCGGAGACCACGAGGATCAATACTTGCGGATGATATGGGGCTTGGAAAGACTTTAAACGCATTGATGTTTATTCTAGCGACTAGCCAATTGGGCGTAAATTTTCGGCATTCTAACATGGACCGGACAGCAGCAACTTCTGCGGCCACACTTATCATATGTCCTCTGGCGACCCTATCTAACTGGGAAAACGAGATCCATATACATTTTAGGGCGCACACAATACCGTACTGTGTCTTCCACGGCTCAAATCGCAAAGAGATTAAATATGAGCAGTTTCTATCTTCAATGGTTGTGTTGACAACATATGAGATGATTGGAACAGCTGGGAACACCTCAACCAGCCGGCCGATGATCGAGAATTTGAATATTAATTGGTTCAGGATAGTATTAGATGAAGCTCAGTGAGTACAACTTTTTCTTGTATGATAAGGGTGATTTGGCGGGAGAAATACTGATGGAGTGTAACATGCAGTATGATCAGGAACCGGGGTTCTACGAGGACCCAGCTTATCCAACGCCTCAGAGCCAGATTTTTCTTATGTCTAACTGGGACTCCCCTACAGAACCGCTTGACAGACCTTCAAAGCCTGGTACAACTGCTGAGGATCCAACCGTGGAGTGAAGAATGGATATGGAAGAATTTCCTGATACCAAACATAAACGTTGGTTCTGACCAAGCTACAAAATCGTTAAACCGGCTCATGGAGGAAATATGCTTGAGGAGGACAAAGGATGTCTTGTTGAACCTTCCGCCAAAGACGGAACGTGCCGTGGTAGTCCATCTTAGCTCCGACTGGTTGAAAATA